CAGCGCATGCTTATTGAGCCCGCCGGCGCGGCCTCGCTGATTTGGCTGGCGCGGATTCCAGCTGCTCCCCCGGGGCGGGAGCTCAGCGCGAGTAAAGGGGGCGCTGCAGGCAGCAGCCGCCCCCGCCCCGCGCTCTCCGGCTCCCCCCACCTCCTCTTGGGCTTCAGGGTGTGTGCGAGGCACGCTGGCCCTTTCACTTGCGGGCCTCTCCTTTTCTCTCCCTGTGGTGTTCTGGTTCTGAATTCATCCAGGGTCCAGGATGACAATCCGGCACCAAGGCCAGCAGTACAGGCCGAGGATGGCATTTCTCCAGAAGGTAAGCTGGTCTGTCACCTGGGCCTGGGGGGTGCGCGGGGACCCAACTCTGAGAAGTGTCCGCGGAGATGCTGGACCGGCTCAGCGCGTGTGGGCAGGAGCGGAGGGCATCCCTTGTGGTCCGTTAATGCTGCTGCTGCTGCTGCTATGAAACGACTTCTTTGCTGTGTGTGAGTGTGTGTGTGTGTGTGTGTGTGTGTGTGTGTGTGTGTGTGAAAGACTATCATCATTAGGTTTCCATGTAACCTGTCTGTAGTGGAGACCGGAAGCCAGGGGCGATGGTCTGCTGCAGGCTCAGAACTACCTGTTACTCAGGAGAGGAGGGTGCCCTGCCCGAGGCAGTGCAGCCCAGGCTGTCACCTGCAAGACTGTCTCCGGATCTTGTTCTAAGGCACCAGATGTTAAATCAACATTTTGGGGGGTTATTTTTCGGATCCTAAACTGCAGTATTTTAAAGTGTGTGAGTGAGTGAGTGTGTGTGTGTGTGTGTGTGTGTGGGGGGGGTGTGACTGTGTACGCATCGATCATGCAATGATATATTTGTAGGATAAAGGACCCCCCACTCCCAGCACCCCCAGGCCCCCCATTGGAGCCTGTGTATCTGCTTATCTCAGGTCTCTGTGCTGGCAGCAGAAGTCAGAACCTTTTCTCTTCGGCCACAGACTTTCTCAGACCAGGTGGCCAGGCACAGGCTGTTCTGTGGTCGTGGGGGAGGTAAAATGCGTCTTGCCGACGGATGTGTTTGAAAACAGCGGCTCATTTTGTTGCGAACTCTTCAGATAACCAGTGTCTGAAGAGATCGTCAGGGGCTGAGGCCCTAGGTCACTTGTCCACCCTTCCTTCCGTCCACAGCCGCTTTCCACGGCACCGTGTCCACCATCTGAGGCTTATCTTGTTGAGTGGAATTAGCCGAATGCTCAGTGACAAGTGGAGCCCTGAGCCCCTGGAGCTGAGTACGTGGGTGTAGTCAGTGCCCAACTGTCCTGATTTGCCCGGGACGTTCAATGCTGAAACCTGGACAGTGCCGGGTGCACTGGACCGCTGGTCACACCCCTCCGCCCACTTCTAGGAGCTTGTGCTTGTATCCAGGTAGTGGAGGTGTGAGGCTCATCCACAAAACAGGCGGGAGGTTGGCAGAAAGGACCCCGAGAGCCGATATTGCAGACACCAGTTCCTGAAAGCAGAGGAGACCACCGAAACGCCCTATCTGAAAGCCATGGTCATCCTCCAGGGTTCCCCAAGACTGCCTTCTTCCGCCCCCAGACAGGCAGGCTGGGAGGCTCAGGGAGGAATGGTCTGGAGATTCTCTCCTTGTTTTCTGAACCTCAGACGTTCTTGCCATCATGGCTGCTGTCTAGCAGAGCCTCCTCTCTCTACCTTGGCCTTCTGACTGGAGTCTGGCGCCAGCCTCTCTCCCCACCATCGCACTCTTACCTCTTCCACCCCAACCTCCCCCTCCACCCCGCCACTCTCCACCAATTGCACCCCAGCCGTCACCTCCTCCACCCCAGCCTCCCCTTCGTACCGCCACGAGAGAAAGCGTCGTGT